ACCAGCAGGCAATGTTCCTCCTCTTCTCCCAAGCACTACTGGGAGTAACAAGGAATAACGGCCATAAGTTGATGGAGAGTAGATTCAGGCTAGATATCAGGAGGCACTACTTCACAGTCAGGGTGGCTAGGATCTGGAACCAACTTCCAAGGGAAGTGGTGCTCGCTCCTACTCTGGGGGTCTTCAGAAGGAGGCTAGACAATCACCTAGCCAGGGTCGTTTGACCCCAGCATTCTTTCCTGCCCATGGCAGGGGGTTGGACTTGATGATCTGCTCAGGTCCCTGTAGTTGCCAGGGTCCTCCCTCCTCCCTTTTTTGAAAATGAGGTCCACATTGGCCTTCTTCCAGTCTTCTGGCACCTGGCCAGAGCACCACGAGCGCTTGTAAAGCTGTGCCAGGGGCCCTGCGATGACTCCTGCCAATTCCCTCAGTCCCTGGGGTGGAGAACATCTGGACCTGCTGATTTGAACATGTCCAGCCCCTCCACAAGTTCCCTACATTGGTCCTCCCTGACCCTGAGCCTGGCGGAGTTGCTCCTTGAGTCCTCCCCCACCAGGATACAGGATGAAATCCTGGTTTCTACTCAGAAAAATGGAGGCAAAGAACTTGTTAAAAAGGTCTGTTTTTTTTTTTTTTTTAATCTGGTGCAACCACCAGATTGCCAAGCATATTCTGCAGGGGCCCCATGTTGCCTGGTGCCTTCTTTTTGCTCCCTATGTATTTAAAAAAGGACTTTTTGTTGTCCTTGATCCTTCTTGTTAGCCCTAGTTCCATCTCTGCCTTAGCCTTCCTAACAGCCTCCCCACATACTCTTGCAATGGAGGTATATTCCCCTTTGGTGATAGCCCCCACCCTTCCACTGGATGTATACCACCTTTTTGGCTTTCAGACATTCCTGAATGCCTTTGGTGAGCCAAGGGGGCTTTTGAGCACTCTTACCCCTTTGACTCGCGTTGGGACTGTTACCCCTTGGGCTTGGAGGATTGTCTCCTTAAGGAACCACCACTTGGCTTGGACACCTAGTTCCCCTACTCTTTGGAACTGCAGTGCCTCTCCTACCAATCTTCTCAACTCATTGTAGTTGGCCCTCCTGAAGTCAAGGGCTACTGCCTTGCTGCAGGCCCTTGACACCCTATGCTGGATGGTGAATTCCAGTAGGTGATGATTACTATCACCTAGGTGGTCGAGGACCTGGTGTCCCCTCATCTGGTCATCGCCTGTGGCCAGGACCAGGTCCAGCAAGGCATTTCCCCCTGGTGGGACTCTGCACCTCCTGGGTTAGGTGGAGGTCTTGTATCCCAGCAAGGAACCTATGTGAGCAGTCAGCCCTGGCTGACTCCCCCTGCCAGCAAATGTCCATGTAGTTTAGATCACCCATGATGACCACATCTCTTGACTTAACTGCCTCTGCGAGCTGACCCAAGAATTCCTGGTCCAGCTCTTCCCCGGTTAGGTGGTCTGTAGTAGACACCCACCATTAAGTCCCTTTCCCCATGACCCCCTTGTATTCTGACCCAGAGCACTTCAGCCTGCCCCTCCTCTGACCCCATCATGTTAGTTGAGGACATGTGCTGCTCTTTGACGTAGAGTGCCACTCCCCTGCCTTTCCTCCCTGTTCTGCCCCACCTGTATAGTCTGTGGCCCCTAATGTTTACTGCCTAATCATGTGTTGAATCCCACCAGGTTTCAGTGAACCCTACTATGTCTGGGTTTGTGCCAGTTATCTGGAGGGCGAGCTCCTCCTGTTTATTCCCCATACTTTGAGCATTAGTGTAAAGGCACTTAAGGCCTCCTATCGGTGCATGCCTTCCCCCCCGCCCTCCGGATTCCTAGGACTGTCCTTGTTCCTTACCTGGGTACCTCTTGTGCTTGTCCCCTGTCTTGGCTGGAAGGTGTCCTCCTGTGGCCCCACCCCCCAGCAAAGTTAGTTTAAAGCATGCCATATGAGATCAGCCAACCTGGAAGAGAAGACACGTTTGCCTTTAGGGGAGAAGTGAAACCTGTCCCACCTGAGTGTGCCCCCTGCACAAAAATGCAGGTTGTTGTCCAGGAACCTGAGGCCTGCTTGGTGGCACCAACTCTGAAGCTTCCAGTTGACCTCATTGATGCAGACCTCATGACGCTGTCCACGTCTACTTACTGGGAGAATAGAGGAGAATACCACCTGTGCCCCCGTGTCCGTGAGCTTGGCCCCCAAGGCCTTATAGTCTTTCATGATGTGGTCTGGGTTGCCCCTGGCCACGTCATTTGTTTCCACATGGATTAGGACCATGGGGTACTGGTCTGAGGGTCGAATGAAGGCCAGGATCCTCTCTGTGACGTCCTGAATCTGAGCCCCAGGCAGGTAGCAGACCTCCTGTGCCATGGGGTTGGGTCGGCAGATAGGACCCTCCGTTCCCTTCAGGATGGGCTCTCCGATGACAAATTTCTATGCTAGTCACCAATTATAACTTGTGAAAATTTACAGTCTTGATAGATGTTTAATCTTTCATTTTGCTATGAAATGTGAAAAGGAAGAGGGCCATCTTTTGAATGCTTTCTGAAGGAATAAACACTTGAAAAATGTGTTGTGTGATCTGGTAGAACTGGAAGGCATGTTGATACCAAAGATTCTCTTGGAGTGAGTTGCTGCTTTGAGGCCTGGCAGAAGTGGCATTGAAGTCCCTGGTCCTGTTCAAATTTGAGATTATAAAGTTTGGTGACAGGGGTACATCCTAAAGTAGCACTACTTCTCTAGGAAAGAATTGGGGAAAGGACCATCTGCATTTCTTTGCAGCCAGCTAGCTGAGAGGAGTTTAGTCTTTTGAGCATGTCCTCTGCCCTGGGAAAATGTTATACTGTTCTGTTTCTCAGATGTCAGATAGACACAAATATCTTTTTATAATCAGACATCAACATGAAGATTTCTTGGACTTCTGAGACTTCACATCTGTGAGAACTTTATTGCTGAAGGACAGCATATTGGTCAAGGCTTGAGGGTGTTGTTATTTCTGACTTGAGTTATCCAGATTCTGTTCTTGTATATCCTGTGACAGAGATCAGAACTTCAAATCCTTCATCTTGGTATCCCAGATCTCTTGTTTCAATCAGAGTGAGATTCTTCACCCAAACTTCTTAAGTCCTTTTTAATCTCTGCGCTAAATCTCTGGATTGTTGGGAACTCTGTGTTGCATATTTTGTAGAAGTCCAACTGTATGATTTTACTACTTAATAAAATGGGAGAACTTATCTTGAGCAGCTCGGAATGGAAGTAATCTTCATCACTTGTGGTTTTGGGCTTTCTGCTATAGCTTCATCCAGCATTATGGCCTTCTGTCCTCTAATGCATAAGGTGTCCGTTTCTGCTTATCTGCCAGTAATCAGGGTTTGCTCCATATACCTTCTGTTTGAGCCTCCCTTGTAACGAAATCAGAGAGTGGTATTTGAAAAGCTCACTGGGGCCCTGGTTCAGACTCTGAGACATTCATTATCTGAAAATTACATTCTTCAGTTATCAGTACTAGGGGTTAGTGAGAGCCATGTTGTTCTGATCTGTCACAGAGATGAGCCCTGTGTCCCCAAACTCCTGTCTCTATCTTCCATTTTAATCAAAATCCCTAGCTTTCTTGTATTCTATTCATTTTCGTGCCGTGTCTAAAGCGTGGCATCAATTTTTTGGATTGGGTCCTTGAGTACCCGATTAAGACTTGTATAAGACCTGATGTACAGTATGCCTGAAAGAAGGTCTGTGCTACAGAATCCTTCCTTCACACTGTAATGAAGCACTATTAGAACAAGAATGGGTATTAATCTTCCTGTATTCTTGAGATTAAATGAGTCAATTTTTTAACTTTATTTCTCAGAGGCTATAATGCAAAGGTCCAAGCTTATTGTCTGTAACCTTATCACTAGAGTAGTTATACTTCTCTTCCTTGGTATAAATTCATTTGTAAGATTCATAGTATAAAGTGAACAAAATAGCTATGTAAATATTGTATTTTTTTCTAGTGTATACCTACACTTTTAGCATCTAATGAAGTAGGTTGTTGCTTGTGAAAGCTTATGCCTCACTGAACCATTTAGTCTCTTAAGGTGCAACCCTGCTCTACTTTCTGCCTGTACCCACAGTGATATGGCCTCTAGTTTTGCATATGGCAAGCTCATGTGACAACCAGGAAAGTGGTGATGTGTTCAGTGACTGACTGATCCCATAAGCCTGTCAGTTGGTGCTTGATGATCACTACTCTACACTGAGCTAGCCTACCTGTGGCTTGAAAAACTAGAGCATTGCAGCTATTTAAGACAAACTGTAGGCAGCTGCTTGATTGATTGCTTTTATTGGGGCCTTTTATAACCAGGGATCCTGGTTTTCCCTGATAAATACCAAATCCTCTGCTAAAAAATCACAAATTATCTCATAAAAACCCCAAAGTCTAACAAAGCCCCCCACGGCCCCCTGGCCCTGCTCCTGCCTCTCGCTCCCCGTCCCCACAGCCTTGCTGCTGCCCCTCACCCTCCACCCACAGCCCTTGCTCCCCCAGCCCTGCTGGAGGGGTCCCATAGCTGCTAGGGCTGTGGACCTGGGTCTGCAGCCCCCTGCCCCTGCTATCCCCTGCTGCCTGCTGTGGGCTCGGGTGGGGCGGTTCCGTGCTGCTGTGTGCACTCCTGGGGGACCTGCACCCCCCAGATGTGTACACAGGGCAGGTGCAGGCTGTGGGCTCAAGTTCCTGTCCTGCTTCCCTACCCTGGGGCCTCTGCAGCCCACTGTGCATGATCCGGCACAGCTGAGGACAGTGGAGCTGTGCAGGGATCTCCTTGCTGCTGCAAGCTCTCCCCCCTCCCACCCCCTGCTGCTTTGGTGATGTGCCCCCTGCACCTGCTGCTGCTTTAAGGGGCACAGTCCTGCACTGCTGCTCTCACTGCAGCCCCATGTGAAGGAGGGCCACCCATGGCCACATCCTGCTCCCTGCTGGGGCCCTGCAGCTGTGCATTGTGGCCCCAGGCCCCAAGCCTCACCCGGCTGGGCAGCAGTCCCAGTCCTGTCCAGGGCCCTCCCTACAGGGGCCTCAATCCCCATCTCCTTCCCCACTTACTTGCTGGAACTGCTCTACCTTGCAGGCTACCCAGGGCCATATGCATGAACATGCATACAGAGCTCCCTGTCTCACTGCCTTCCTCCCACCCCCCTCTAGCTCCCTGCAGGCTGGAACTCTGCCAGGTGGCAGGGAGCTCACTACAAAATGGCAGAATCCCAAGGTTTCTCTTGTTAAACGAGAAATTCGTGTTTGCCTCTGGTAAAAGGTAAAATCCACGATTTACTCTGTTTTTCTGTGGGAAGTGGAAAACTCAGGTCCCTGTTCATAACAATGTAACCAGCCTTAATTGGGTGCTAACAGGGAGGTACAGCTGAGCTAACAGTATTTCAGAGATGAAAGGTATGCTTAATTCCTCATAAGTGGTGCATTTAATTTAAAAATCAATAGCATGTGGCAAACTAATGCCATTTACATGATGTGAATACCTGTCCACATTAGGCAGCTGCTTCTCAAGTGGCTTGCATTCAACCTTGGTGTCCAGCCTTTCTTTACAAAAATGATTTTTGAAATCAGGTCTGGTACTTGCAAGAAAAGAGCTTCACTGGCATCCATGTGCATTAATAATGTGCAGTTGAACTATTTTCAACACACCAGCTTAATTGGTTTAATGTTGAACCACAGCTACAATAGTTTTACTTTTATTACTGTATTTACTTGATTATAAGATAAGGTTCCACCCCATTCAACATGGGGAAAATCAAGCCTTATCTTATAATCGCATACAACTTAACTGAAACCAGAAAATGCGCAGTGTGCTAGAGCTTTCTTCAATGTGCAGGGTCACTTGAAACTATTTCCTGCCTATGCCAAGTTGCTTTGGTACCTTCTGGCTGCAAACCCCACACAGCTCAAAATGACCCGGCAGCGTTCCCAGAGTGTGTGGGGTTTCTGTTCAGCATGTGCTAAGTTGCTGCTGCCCCAGTGAAGTGTGCTGGTGCAACTCATCACACGCTGACAGCCTGGGCTGGTCCCTTTGTGTACTGGGTTGCTCCAGCACTAGCTGCTTGAGCTCTCAGAGCTCAGTGTGTGACAAGGGACTCAGCATACGACGAGGCATCCAACAACAGTGAGGCAAGTGACAGCAAGGTACCCAGTAGAGGGGCAGGTGGCAAGGGAGCACTTGGCAGAGTAGCAGGGAAAGTAGCAGATTATAGAGCCTGAGATCACCACTGAGTGGTCAGAATTTAAAAACAGAAACCCATAGTAAATCCTATGGCGTGAGTGGCAGCAGGGAAACCCTTATGACAGACCATGTAGAAGCAAAAGGAAGCAGCAGTACAAATGCGAAGATACCAAAAGAAATGAGGTGCAGCTATGGTGCGGACTTTAAAATGGAGGTTATAAGGTAACAAGTAACTGAGAGGCAGGAAGGAAGTGTAACGTTACTGAATCAAGTGTGTGTCAATGGAGACAATGAAAAGGAAAATGCAAGAAGGCTAAGTCTACATGGAGAACATTTGGGAGTCCAGAACAAGGTCGCTTTCCTGAAATTGATAAGCAAGTGCTCAAGTATGTTCAAGAATAAAGAAAGGAAGGAATGCCAATCATCCATGAAGTACTTTGACTCAAGGCATTGGAAATAGCAAAGAAATTGAACATTCCTCTTCAAAAATTCAAAGCAAATAGTGGGTGGCATATCTGAATGATGTGACAGTGGCTTAGCCCTGAGATGAAGAACATCATTTGCACAAAAGCTAACATCAGACTTCAGCATACAACTTGTTTGATTCCAGTGGTATTTTATTGGGCTATGGAAAACTTGTGATTACCTGCTGGGCAAGACAGGTAATCCTGATGAGACCTACTCTAGTCTATTTTGACATGCTGAGTAATGTCACTATCCATGAGAGAGGTAAAAAATCCATAATTCTGAGAAATGTAAGAAATGAAAAATCACAAATTACACTGATCTTAGTAGTATTGGCAGATCGGAGAAAATTGCAACTCAATGTGATTTTGAAATGTAAAACTCTGCCAAAATAGAAGTTGCCAGCAGGAATAGTGGTTAGATGCCAGGAACAAGGATGGATGTCAAGTGAACTGATGAATGACTGATTAGATGTTGTGTGGAAATGGAGACCTGGGGCACTGCTAAAGAGAAGAGGAATGTTAGTGTCAGAGAGCATTTAATGCTTGATGGGAAAGCAAAAAGTCAATGAATTGTGATCTTGTAGTCATGACATCTCAACTCCGGGTATTGGATGTCATGGTGAATAAGCCCTTTAAGGACCATTTACAATGTCAGTACTCAGACTGGCTTTTGGCAGGGAACCATGTACTTACACCTGGTGGAAAGATTAAGAAGCCAACCATAGCACTGCTTTGCCAAAGGATTCCAACTTACTGGGGAAAGATATCTTCAGAATCTATTATTAAATACTTCAAGAAGTGCTGTATATCCAATGCCATGGATGGAACTGAAGATGATGTTTTGTGGGAAGATGGAGTGAAGTGTGAGAGTGAGGATGCACGTGAAAGTGACCAGTCCTAATTTGCCGGATCTAAGAAGGGAGTAGCATTCACCAGGTTCTGAACAAAACCTAATGTAGATTAAGCATGAATTCATGTTTGAATTTAATTGAAGCTAATGTTGAATGTATGACTAATTGGTATTGCTATAGTTTTTGTCAGTAGGTCTGTTTATAAAAATAATACCAAATTAAATTTTTTCCTTGTGTAGAATCTAATTATTAGGGGTTCATCTTAAATTCAGGTTTGTCTTCAAGTTGAGTAAATATGGTAATTAAAATAAATGTTTTATCTGTAAACCAGCAATTCTGCCAGATAAAGGTTTTTTGAAAGAGTTAAGCCAACAAAGCTTGTTAATACCTGACAAAGTACCACATACAGGCAGTAAGTTGTACCCAAATTTACAGCTTCTGTTCAAATTGGTGAATTTAATACATTTAGGGACTTACTTTTCAGTGCTCTGACAGTGATATTTTCAAATTGGATTTATTTTGGAGTACAGTCTCCAATATAGAACAATTGACTTCATAGGACACTGCCTCATATGAAAGATAAGACTCATCTTCTGCAACATTGCACCTTTGAGATGTTACTCAATAAAAACTGTATTAATACTTAATGACTTCATGATCAGAAGGGCAGGCCCATTGTGATCCTCCAGTCACCTTCCAGACCTGCATATAACATGGCCAAATTTCACTTAGTAATTTCTGCAGCAAGCTTATAACTATTATTTGAGTTTGGGGAGACATTTCTTTAAAATCAGGTACTTTTCAAAAAGAGAACTGCATGCTTTTTAGAATTTTTTTTAAAAAGAAAGAATGGAATGTTGAATGTAAGCATCTTCTTTTTTTCTTTCTTTCTAGATGTTGCGGATGATTATAATAGAATTGGTTCTTCATTATACACGTTAGGAACGCTAGACTCCACAGATATATGCAAGTAAGATTCTGTTAATTGTGATAAATTACAGGACAAATTGCTACACAACAGTGTCAGTTGTCACCTGCATGTGTCCATTGCACTTTGATTAAAAAAATGAATGGCTGTATTAGACTTTTATATCCAAAATAGTAGTTTCTTTCTCATCCTTGTCCATGTTTCATTTCCATATTGTGAAAGTCTTTTAATATCACAAGAAGTTATAAAAAAAAAAAAAAAAAAAAAGCTGTTTCTTGGAATATTTGGGATTATATAAATAATAATTTTTAAAAAATTATTAATAAATGAGAAAACGGAGCAGTCCTTCTAAAACAGGAAGAGACTCTGAAAGTAAAACCATGATTTTAAAATACACAGCTGCTCTTGTACTTATTTGCAAAAGCATGAATATGTACAAGCAAGTATGGATACATCTGATGTGGAAACATTTGTGAATACTCGCTGCATGGAGATCATGAAAGATGATCTCTTAAGGCCTGGCTACTTCACTGCTGGCCATGCCTTCTGTGGATCTCATCCCTTACTACGGGGATGTGCAACCTCTGCTTGTACTGTACACACTGTGCAAACCACCCCTGCACCATGGGTGTGTGTGTACCCCTCCTACTGTCCCAGCACCCCCATGCCCTGCATGTTGCACCACATGGGTCCCTCTTGCTGTGCTGCACAGCAGGTGCCCTGCTGTACTTTGTCAGTGCTGCACTGTGCAGGGCTCCACGCCACGTAGCTGTGGGCTCCCTCAGCCCTGCCCCCAGGGTTGGGTTAGGCATCAAAAGCTGGAGGAGGCAGGGGGAGCCCAGAAGCCCAGGCAGCAGAAGCTACATGGAGCAGTGTGGTGTGCAGCAACCAGATCAGCAGCTTGGGGGCTGCGTGTTTAACCCATGGGGGGCCTCACGAGGTCTACTGGTCACCAGTTGGACAGCCCTGTTCTGTTAAGAATTGAAAACAATATATGTGTACCTATAGAGACTTCTTCCCTTTCAAGGTTTTAGTACCATAGTCCGATGTATCGAGCAGTGTAGTGGTACTTTGGACTAAAGCCTAATTGAATATGTTGCAAACTTAAGCAGTTAAAAAATGTTAGGAAAACATTTTGAAAATAGCAGCGTAACTGGACAGATAGGACTTGGATGTTACTGCAGGGAGGCGGATCTCTACAGAAAAGTTAACGCTGGTGTATTTGTCAGGTCACATCAGTTCTGGTAATGCAGCACACCACTAATTGTGGTGATAGGTCTCCTTTGCTTTCTACCAAATCTTGACTTTTTTGATCAGTCTGTTTAAACTCCAAATTGCAGCTGGCAAATTGTTTCATTTATGACTTGAGGCAGTCTAGGTTCCTGGCTAAATCCACTAAGAAGCTTTCCTTCTTTACATTGTCTTATCCAATGTGGATGGTACTACATTTTTGCTCAGACTTCCCAAGGTCCAGAAGCCTGAACAGAGCCTGCACCATAGCTTTGAATTAACTTCACTCTTTGCACTAAACCACATGCCATGAGCTTCTGATAATAGTGAAAGACTGCTAAAAAGATAACGGTGTGGATTTTGTACAGAGAATTTTGTACAACAGTTCAGGTTTTTATACAAAGCAAAGGCAATCCTTGAGCAAGTGTTCCCATGTTTCTTTTTTCTTTAAAGAAATAGCAAACCATAGTACCATAGCATCTAATGAAGTAGGCTGTTGCCTATGAAAGCTTATGCCTCTCTGACAAGGTTCTTTGGGTGAATCTGATACATTTTATTAGGCCAGGTTAAATAGTTGGAAAATTTTTGTCGCAAGCTTTTGGGTTTAAAAACCCTTCATCAGGCTAAGGAAGTCTCTGCAGTTGGTGTGTGCTCTTCCTGGATGGAATGAATAGTAAAGCCAGAGGCTGGGCTGGGTTTTTTTAAGCCTGAAAGCTTGCTAAAATTTTTTTACAGCTATTTAAGTTGGTCCAATAAAAGATACCAGATTCACCCAAATAACCTTGTCTGCCTATGACCTTAGACCAGCATGGCTACAACCTATACCCCATGCCTCTCTGAACCATTTAGTCTTTAAGCTGGTAACCCTGATTTGCTTTCCTGTTAAGCCTTAGTTAACTGTGAATTCTTACATATAACATTTGAGCAAAAAATGCAGTTTCAGATGTATCGCAAGTTGAAATCAGTCACTTCAGTCTTCCAGGATTTCTTAAATCATAATCAGTTGCTGAGCTGGCACTTCTCACTCAGCATAGGTCCTATTCCTTTGATTTCTGAAGGAGAAATGTGGAAGTGCGTCATTAGACTTGCATTGTAATGAAAACTTTTAATTGATCATGCATTTCCTTCCCTAGATTTTTTCTGAAGGTATCCGAGTTATTTGACAAAACAAGGGTACGTATTATGAAATCTTTTCTTACATGAAAAGTACTGTTTAATTGTTCATCCTGGTGTATGCCACGATTTTGTACAGCTGAAAAATACTGTGGTTATCAATCAGTATCGTGGGGTTAATGGTTCTTTGATCAGCTTTTGGAGGGTGTTTTATGCCAAGTATTTGTCATGGATGATTGTAAAAAGGAAAAGAAGTACAATTAAAATCCTAATGAACTACATTATTTTCTTAACACACAAATGTTTAATCTTTGAAACCAGTATTTGCAATGATTTTCTAGGCTGTATGTGAAACGGTATAGTTACCTCTTTTTGGATTTTGGAGGAATAGTTTATTTTACTGGGTAAAAATATTAAGAAGGCTTTGTTATAAAGCTGCTTGGTTAATGATATCTGATAGAATAGAAACTTTCTCTTTTTAAACAGGGCTTTCTTTAAGCCCCAACCCCACAAACTATCCCATGTAGGCAGGCTGTTGCACCCATATGAAATCTCTTTGCAGGATCCAAGCTTTTCTCTGGAGTCAAGATCACTTCTTGGGGAAGTGAGTCACAATAATGTTGCTGCTTACTAATTTCTCTGGACTTTCCAGAGTCTTGTCTACTCTGCCTTGTTTATTTGCTTTGTCTGAGTTGTATCTTATAGCTCTGAGCACTCTTGGAACAAATGTAAAGAAAAAATTATACTTTTTAAGATATCTAAAGTAACTGCTATGTGCACAGCAAAATGATTGCATGTGAATATTTAAGAAAATTAAATGAGCAAGAATAGTTAACCTTCTGACCCAAAATACGAGTTTCTCATTTGAAAGAATTAGATAAGAAACTTCCATCCTTTCAGGTTTAAATTTAACAATAAACTAGCAGAAATGTGTGTTGTCTCCATATCTTAAAAGGATGATTTGTATTTAAAACTGCATTACAGGAAAATAGCGATCTTACAGGGTAGATTTTGAGGCAGTTGTGACCTAGAACATAATCTAATAGTTCGAAGGAAATGTATGCTAATAGGACCCTGAAAAATAACTATGTACTATAAATGAGAATATTTTTAAAACCTATTGGCCTAGCCAGAGAATAATAAAACATTCTAGAATCAGGAGCGTTTTCAAGTAGATGTAGTAGTGTGTTCTGTTACCTGCATCTGGCTGTAATAGTACACTAGGTACCCATTTTATTCAGGACATGCATTGACTTGATTTACAGCTTTCTCATAAGTTAGTTTTGCAAGCAGACCTTTTGAACACAGACACGGATGTAGTCAAAGGTGGATGAGTCACTGAAGTAATATTTAGTGCTAAAGATTTACCAATTTGACCTTTCCAGACCATTCACAATGGAATTGGTATTTTTGAGGAATATCTGGACTTAAATAACTGGAATGGAGTTTAGGATGAAGTGTTTATACTCTTGCTGAGATCAACAATGTCAGTATTTTCCTTTTTGAGGCCTTTTGTCAGGGGTTCTCAACCTTTCGCCTGTGGGCCAGGTGCAGCCCATGGAGCCTTGTTATCTGGCCTCTGGGCCTCCTGGGTTGGGAAAATTTTGATGGTGGGGGAACAGTGGCCATTAATACAGCCACCCCTTCCCCCTGCTTGTTTCCCCCTCCCCTCACCAAATTCCTAAACTCCAAGCCCTGCATGGGCAGTCTGAGCTGTGCTACGCCCCCTTTCTCCAGCAAGGCTAGGCCATGACCCCACCCCTCCATATCTGGATTGGGGCTGGGTTCAGCCAGCCCATGCCCCCTTCCCCTCCCTGTGGGGCTGGGTTGGGGCCAGTCCATGCCTCCTTCCTGTGCCAGCTGTAGGGTCACGTTGAGCTGGGCCATGTCCCCTTCCTCCTGGGGGACTAGGCATGCCCCCTTTCGTCCTCAGAGGACTGAGTTAGGGCTGGTTCATGTTCCCATCAGTCACCTTCCCACACTCCCTCCATGGGTCATGGTTCGGGCTGGGCTGCCCCCCATCCCCACTCTAAATGGCCTGGCAGTGCCCACTGCACCCTCTCTGGGTGCTGGATCAGGACCACCTGCCGAATGTGGCCCGTGGGGGGAAAAGGTTGAGCACCACTGTACTGAATGAATTTGACAATTTTCCACCTTTTGTTCCAGTATACTAAATATATCCTTGAAATTGGGAACAGTATAGAAAACAGGCTTTTAATAAAATACAGCATAGTTACTTGGTGTTAGCTTTTTTTAAACACAGATGACTACTGAATCATGCCACACATGGAACATTTGTTTTATTTTTTAAATGTCTGTCTGGCAGGCACTGTTTATTTTACTACTTTGAGAATAGTTTGTTGTACTAATATCAAAGAAATGAAGAAAAGTGGAAGTCCAGTTATACTGTCACATTCCTTTATTTTATTTTTCTCAACAGAAAATAGAGGCCCGGGTTTCTGCTGATGAAGATCTTAAACTTTCTGATCTTCTGAAATACTACTTAAGGGAATCTCAAGCTGCTAAGGTGAATTTGCTGTAACTTGTTTTTAGTGAAGTAGTGCGTTTTATGAAAGAGCAGAGATACCTAAAGCAATGTAAACTGATACTCATCCAGGGAATAAGCCAGAATTTCCCATCTTGATTTCCCTCCCCAAAAGCATCACATTAGAACTTTGATTTTGAGAAGTAATACTAGCAGAATTTCATAGCACTGTTTGTTATAGTATTTGTTCCATAGGGCATTATTTCATTAGTGGAGTTGGAAGTAGTGGAGGAATGACTTCGGTAAACAACAGACTACAGGCAGTCCTTGACTTCACAATATTCGAGTTATGATGAACAGCACTTACGATGTTTATAAATTGACATCCTGTTTCAACTTTTTGACATCAGTTTCAATTTTACAATGCTTGATCTGGCACCATGCCACATTGGTAAACAAGTTTGCTGTGTTGCCCACTTCCCTGCACCGATCTACTGCACCGCCCATCTCCCTGACACAGGGTGCTCAGTTGTTGTTCCAACTCCATTTTTACATTAATCTTTGCATTTCCAAACTTTTTCTTAAAATGTAGTCTGTCTTTGTCCATAATAATGGCAGAAAAGTGTAAATCTGGTGCAAGTGACGTTTCTAAGAAACGTGGAGCAATTACTATGGAAAAAAAATGGAAATAATTAAGAGGTCTGGAAAAAGTGAGATGCCAACTGAAATTGGTAGAGCTTTGGATATCCCCTGAACAACTATTGTGGGGGATATCCAAAGACAAGGTAAGAATTGAAGAACATGTTAAGGGCTTGGCTTCTATACAATCAACTATGATAGTTAAACAACGTGTTGGACTTATTGTTCAGGTTGATAAACTGTTAATCATTTGGCTGGAGGATCAAAATCAACGCCATGCTCCTGTGAATTTAGGCATAATTCAGAAAAAGGTTAGGAGTTTTTGTGATTATCTAAAGAAATAACAGGGGGAGAGTTCTAATGCTGATCCTTTTAATGCAAGTAGTGGGTGGTTTATGCATTTTAAAGCCAGGGCCAATTTGCATAACATCAGTGTCTCGGGTGAAACTACCAGTGCTGAGGAGGAGGCAGCTTGTGCTTTTACTAAGACATTGGCTGCAGTCATTGAAGAGGGTGGGTATTGTGGTCGGCAAGGTTAATGAAACTGGGCTGTTTTGGAAGATGCACCCTCTGGTGAAGAGACTCCTTGTAAAGTCTTGACAACAAAAGTGTTGGCTGAGGCATTTCAATATTTGGAAGCTGCCAAGTCCCTGTTTGAGGAACATGACCCCAATGTTGAACACACTGCATCAGTGAATAGGGGCATATCCAAGAGGTATAGTTGCTACAGAGAAACTTACAAGCAAAAGAGGAGAACAACTGTCCAAACTTCCTTGGGCACTTTCTTTAAGAAAGCAGACAAGACTCCAGAAAAACCTGCAGCCAGGACTCCTGAGAAGACTCCAGTCAAGAATCCCTCAAAAAGTCCAGCAAAGTCATCTCAAAGAAGTCCTTCCAAATCAATTTGATTGTTATTTACAATGGAAATACATTAATGTAGCTATATTACTCATCTGTAACTGATAATTCTGGGGTTTTTTGGTGAAAGTAGCGTATTGGGCTTTGGTTCAGGAACCAGGCCCCCCATATATAACGTTCCTATGGGAAAATCGGTTCCGAATTACGATGTTACCATGTTTAGACTTAAGACGCTGTTTTCAGGAACCAATTGTGTCGTAAGTCTGAGGACCACCTGTACTTTAAGTGTCCTGACTTAAAAAATAAATGGCTTATTTCAAGCACTCTAAAACCATGAATACAGATTTTAAATTAAATGTATTATAGGCAAATTTAGTACCAAAAAGAATTTGCTTGGTGACAGCAAACAGTAACGTCATGAAGAAAAGATGTATAAGCAACGGTTACTTACAGAAAACAGTTGTAATGGTGATTATATCAGCCATATTAAAAATGCAAGTAAATAGTGTTTCTCAGGCCATGCGTGTTTTCAGATTCATAACTTAAAATGGTAATTTGCTACTGATCTGCTGGGAGGGTGTAGAACTCCCCATGTTGATCCATTCCTGGGTTTTTTTAAAACATTACTTGAACTGTGGTGTTGGCTACTGTTAGGACACTAAGCTGTATGGAACCAGTTATCTGTCCAGTATGGCAATTCTTATAAATTGCAAAAACAAAATAGCTATGTTGAGATTTATTAAAATAAGAATAATCTCAAGGAAGAATAAAATGAATCTGAGATGACAGTATATAAATATCCAAGTGTAGGTATTTGTAGAATATATATATATATATATTTTACTCTGTTTTTGCAGGATCTCCTATATAGAAGATCTAGGTCCTTAGTAGACTATGAAAATGCTAACAAGGCATTGGATAAAGCAAGAGCAAAGAACAAAGATGTGTTGCAAGCTGAAACCACTCAGCAACTCTGTTGTCAGAAATTTGAAAAAATATCTGAATCGGCAAAGCAAGGTATTTGAACAATCACATGCTATCTTTGTCTCTGGTTACTTGAATGGCCCTAATTTGTTGAACATTATCTGTAATCGGTTTTTTGCTTTCTTTTGAACAGGCCCTTGTTGATGTATAATACATATTTATTTGTGACTTCTTACCTTGGGTCATTCAGATTTCCTTCAAGATTAGTGGAGCCTTCTGATTCCAATATTACAATTAAGTGGCTGGATTTTCTGAAAGCAAAGATGCAAATTAGCCATTTCTTGTTTTGGTATATATAAGGGCTGTCCAACTTTCAAATACTATGCCATTCAAGTGCCACACTACAGTGATGTGTGGCACACCATGCTGTTTCCCATGCACTGCTACATGTGGCCTCTTTTGGGCTGTGTGCCCCACCCCTCTACTGCACTGTGCTCATGTACTGTGTCACCCCATGGTCTTGTGAATTTCCTGTTCAGCTCCAATGGCTGCTCTCTGCTGCCCCATTCCCTGGGGAATAAACCAGAAGTTGAAAGGGTTGGGGGCAGCCCATAGGCGGAGGGAGAAAAACTTATTTGGGGGGACTGAGCGCATGCATATGTGTACACCCTAACCAGCAGGTAAGCCTGTGGGGGAAGGGCCATGGGGGGTGCAGATTGAAGCCCCTGCTGTTAGGGAGGGAGTGGGGTAGGGGCAGGGGTGAATGGGGCCCCAGCCAGGCCAGGTGGTGGGAAAGTTGGAGCCTGGGCGGCTCGTTGAGGGGTGCCGGGGGTCCAGGGGGCACATGCCCCCTGATCTGTGTGGGGCAGAGACAGCTGCCACTGTGCGCTGGGGCTCTGGGCCTTGCTGTCAGTGCAGCTGCCTTGGGAGAGGCATGATGCCATGTGTGTCCCACTGCCACTGGGCTGTGCCACGCCCCCTGACCGCCTGGCAGCAGGATGCACTTGGCATTGTGCAGCTTCCAAGGCAGCTGCACCAGCAGCAGGGCCCAGAGCACCAGCATGCAGCAGCAGCTGCCTCCACCCTGTGCACAGATCAGGAAGCACATGCCCCCCCCAGGCCTCTGCCAGGGTGCACACAGTGGCAGGAGCACCCCTTCACCCTTGGATGAACTGCCCAGGCTTCGATTATCCCACCACGGGGCCCAGCTGGGGCCCCATTCACCCCAGCCCCTGCTTCTGCCTCACTCCTTCCCTCAATGTGGGGGGCCTTGACCTGCCCCTTTCCCTTCAGAGAACAGACAGACTGATACTTGCCTGCTGTGCTGGGTAGCCAGTCACACATGCTGGGCTGCAATCCTGGTTGTGTGTGCGTCCCTCCCCACTCCTGCTGCAGTCACCTGAAACCTGTCTGGGCTGCCCCACAGCCCTATGCACTGCTCCACATTTGGGGAGCTGAGCCCTGTTAGCCCCAGCCTTCCATTGCCTATGGGGGAGCCTGGAGACTCCCAGAAGGGCAGCAGCAGTTAGTGGTGGGGCAGCAGCCTCCAGACTAGGAGTCTGGGGGATGCAGCTTAACTCCCTTCAGGGGCTGCACATGTCTCTTGGGCTGTTAACTGGTCAGCTCTGGACAATAGTGTAACTGACTCCAAACAGTAACACCAAACCTAAGCTCAGGTTCAATTGAAGTGCCCCATACAAGGCCATCTATCCTCTGTCTGGGACAGCAGCACTTTTTTGCAGGTGGCTCTGGGTCAAGTTAGATGAAACAGTGAAGGGAGGTTTTGTTGGAGTTTGGTCCAAACTGGAGCAACTTTGGGGGATGGAAGGAGCTCCTCCAAAGAAGTGGGTCTATTCAGTGTGGAGATCTGTCCTGGGAGTCTGTTCCTCTTCACAGTTAGGATGGGTCTAGAAAAGTGGTTTTCTCTCCCAACATTTGCATCCCTTATCTTAACTTAGTCCCTGGTCAGCACCTTAGATACCTGGCAACACCAGTAGCTAGATTTCTTTGGCTTTGTACATTTGCCAAAGTTGATTCTTTGCAGAAAAGAATCTGCCCCTCTTTTGGGCTGCGTGCCCCACCCCTCTACTGCACTGTGCTCATGTACTGCGTGTCATCCCATGGTCTTGTGAATTTCCTGTTCAGCTCCTATGGCTGCTCTCTGCTGCCCCATTCCCTGGGGAATAAACCAGAAGTTGAAAGGGTTGGGGGCAGCCCATAGGTGGAGGGAGAAAAACTTATTTTTTCGCAGAAAATGGTGGATGAGAGCTCCTGAAAGTATTCAAGCAAGTTCTGTCTTTTTAAGTCTCACCTGCTCTTACTGGCTTTGATCCCATGTCTGCCAAGGGATTCTTCGTATTTGGAGTCTCTGGACAGAAAGTAGTGGGGATGGGAGATGGAATTCACTCTTTTAAACATTTAGGGCATTTTTACATGTATTCCTGATGCGGCACCAGGCGCTTTTAATTAGTGAGCTGTGCTAATTAATAGTGACCGCGTGTCGTGTATCAGTGGTGTAGCATGTCCCCATGCTGAGACAATGGTGTTAGGGCACCTTGAATTAAAGCACATTGAACGTGTTTTATTTCAAGGCTTACTGCCACCATTTTCTCAGCATGGAGACACGCTGCAGCACTGATACTCAACATGCAAGGCTGCCAGAGTGTGTCAGTTTGTGTTCCAGCAGACCTTAATTAATCAAGTCAGCTCTGATGTGCTGAATTTTCAGCATGTTGGAGCAGGCTCCCCGCACATGTGTAAGTACCCTTAGTGCCCAAACTACTGTTTCTCTTTGAAAAAGCTTTGCATATATGAAAGCTGTTGTTAGGAGAAGATGGCCCAGTTGCACTTTAAGGCTTTGTCTAAACTCTAGTTAGCAGACAGACTAATTGGCCCAGACATTCTGCCATGCAGTGAGCCTACCCAGAGTGCTGCACTGATGCAGGTAGATGCTAGCTACTTTAGGATGTAGCCTGCTGTGAACAGTGCAGCATGTGCTACTGCCAGTGCAGTAAGTTTACCTTATAGACATGACCTAAAGTGTCTCTTTATTTTAACAGTGCAGCAGTAGCTCTGTGCCCAGGTTGTGGGATCAGATTTAAGCTTGATATTTATGTCTTAAGTAGAACTTAAATAACATCATTGCATTTAATTTAATGGGATTCAAACTTGTGTTTTCTACAGAACTTATAGACTTTAAAACAAGAAGAGTTGCAGCATTCAGGAAAAATCTGGTGGAACTGGCAGAACTGGAACTGAAGCATGCTAAGGTAATTGGAACCTATTTTTGCTTCCATTTCAGACAGTTGTTGTTTCATAGAATCATAGAAGTGGGGTCAGAAGGGACCTTGTAGATCTTCAAGTCTGACCCCCTGCCTGGGCAGGAGAAAAACTGGGCTCAGATGA